CTCCTATTCGCCTCTTTAATTGTGACTCTTTGGATATTTTTCAAAATATGATGACTTCATAAATGGGGGAGTGAGAAAGGTGCTGTCAATTGTCATCATTAAAAATGTTTACTACATGTTTTCTGGCAGACAGGGGGTAAGCAAGGGTTCGGTTTTGGATACCTACCTACTTCATGATTTGACAATTTCACTTAGAAACTTTTCAAAGTGTATACTTAGTATAAAACTTTCAGTTGAGGCCATTTTGGACTGTTCTCTTTATGAGGCGAGCGTGGGGTAAAAATTTTATACTCCCTGCAGACGCTGATGAAGGTTTTTGAAGGCCACTAAAACGCTGTGGAGACCATTAAAAGCTAATAGTTCTGCAATACCAATAAAACTTCTTAAAGGTTATTAGACAGTCTTAAAGTTTCTTATACCTACCCACAAAAACCCTTAAGGACTAATAAAAGCCTAAGGGTCAGAAAGATCATGAAGTCTCGCGAAGACTCAAAAACGAATGAACCGATTACAATGGAATTTTGGAGGTGGATTCTTTATCAAATTTGTAGATCGGAGCAATGTAGGCCAAAAGATGTCAGGCCCTTTTGACATCTCCGTTAGTTATGGTCCGAATTACCTGAAATTCAATACGGACATAGATTTACCAATACGCAATGCCAAAAGTTAAGTACAATCGACTCAACATTCACAGTGCCCTTTTCGCATCTCTACCATTTATGAACCGAATTGCAAACTTTTTTAATTATGAAGGTATTTAAATGAAATTTGATTCTTAGGCACTTGGGATGAAAACAAATGTACGCCAGTTTTAAAATTTGGTTTTGCGCATGCGCAGTGCCAAACCCAGGAACTTGTTGTTTTATTTATTTACACGTTTATTACACGTCTCTGCGTTTAATGGAGCAGTACTTCGCCATCCAAGTTGATATTTATAAAAGTTATTATTTGCTTTTTCAAAAACACTAGAATATTAAAGATCTTTAGCCAAAACAAATAACACCAAAAACGGTCATTTTTTTGTTAGTTGTAGTTAAGCAGTTTTACGCAAAGGCGTCAAAACAAAATTATTTCCGGCGTTTCGAAGACATAAATTATGACTTTAACTACAAAACATTGTAAACTTTGAACTCTACATCGTGTATTATCATAAAATGTTTACTACACTCAGACATGTGGGCTTATCCTGTAAAGAGATATTCGTTATATCTTACATCCGCATTACAAAAAGCGCAATTTAACGTTAAAATTTATGGTTGTAAACAGTTGAAGGTGAATTAAGCAGAAGTTGGATTTTTTCAAATTGCGCTAATAGGCGTTACCGGAAAATATTGAATATTTCATTAGAGTAATAAATTAAACAAATATAACAAACGAGCTCCTGGGTATGGCTATAGAATGTGCAAAAGCAAATTTTAAACCTGATGTTAGTTTTGCTTTTATTTAAAGTGTAGGTATATGTATGAAATTTCATTTAAATGCCTCCATAAATAAGAAAGTTGGAACTGCGCATGCGCAAAACCAAATTTTGAAACTGGTTCCACCGATCCCTCCAATACGTCTCTAAACATTCCATTACCCCTCAATACGTGGCCCACCCAGTCTCTCTTTCACTCTCTAATTTTGCTTAACAATCCTGCTCTTCTTAATACTTCTTCATTTCTAACTTTTAACAATACAACCTCCTCCGAGTCCACATGTCGAATGCTTCCAGTATTTCTAATTCTCTTTGTTTTTATGTCTACACCTATTCAACAGAACACTCTAAACTAAACACTTCACCAGCATTTTTCTCAATTCTAGATCCATCTTACTGTTAAGCACCACTCTCATTTACGCTGTCTTGGCCATTCCAAGTTTGCAATTCGGTCTGTAAATGGTCGAAATGCGCAAAGGGCACTGTGAATACTGATCGATTAGGCTCAACTTTTCATGCGATTCGGTTCATAACTAACGGAGATGTCAAAAGGGCCTACTTTATTTTTTGGTCTACATTATACCAATTCACGAACTTCGATCTACAAATTTGATAAAGAATTAACCTGCAAAATTTCATCGTAATCGGTCCATTCGTTTATAAGTTATCGTGCTAACTGTTAACGGACGGACGGACAGACACCGCAAAATTATAAACTCGCTAGGAGCTCGTTAATAAAGTTGGTGATAGACAACATCTCTGCCTAATTCCTATTCCAAACCATTCAGTCATGTTATCACACACCTTCAGTGTCACCTCTTGTTTCGTGTACAAATTTGCTGATCAATCTTCTTTCTCTCCAACTCATCATTGTCATTAAAATTTTTAACAGTTTTTCGTAGGTACGTCACACAATCGAATGCGTTTTCCAGATCTACTAGGCACAGACTTATAGTTCTTCCTCGTTCTATGTATCTTCTCCAATTGTTTTTACTGCTGCTATTGCATCCCTGGTTTCCAAATCCCTTCGGAATCCAAATTGATATTCCCCCACTATCCTATCCTCCTCAACCGACCCACCGCCCACAACACAATCTTAGCAGCATGAGCGATAACAATGATCGTTGTGTTCCTCTTCTTTCCTTTCTTTGTTCCCTTCTTTTCTGAAGCGATATCATACTGTTCTAAGGGTCTTCGGGCCGCACTCAACTCTCGTGAATCTCACTACACAAATCCCTCAGTATCATCATTCCTTCTTTCTCTAAATCCTCTTCTAACCACTTTATTAACTCCACCGGTATCCCGTCTATCCCAGCAGCCCTGCCATTCTTCAAATCTCTTATAGCTGCCTTCTATTTCGGACTAAAATACTCCCACCCTTATCTTCCTCTGATACATCCGATTCTTCCTCTATATTTATTCGTTCAGGGGTCTTATTTGCTTTGTATAACTGTTCCATATATTCTTTCCGTCTATTCAGTATTTGGTTATCTTCTGTCGGCACCTTTCCGTCCTCGCTTTCGATACCAATATGAATAGCTACTTTACTTTGAGTTTGTCCTTTATCCCACACCATGTTTCTTACTTTGTTGAAGCGTCTTCCTATTAGATCGAGCCTCCAAAAGCTTTTCAGGTTCTCTTTTATATTTTAAAATATGTGTACCAAATTTGGTTCCAATCCGTTCAGCCGTTTAACAGGAAATGAGAGTACAGACGGACCGACAGACATACCGACATACCTAATGGAGATTCTGTTTGATTCGAATTTCTGGTGCTGGGGGGGGGGGGGGAGGGGGGGTCATTCTAGCCCAATGCAATAAATACCTCTCTTAAAAGAAATTCCAACTCAGTTCTCTATACCTTTTAATAACATACTTACAGATATTCTGCTCTGGATTTTCTTCGATTTTGTAGATGTATTGCCCGTGTAGGGGCGGAAAAGAGTAACCCTATCACACTCGTGCTGGATGGATATGTCCGGTACCGGGCAATGGAGGTTGTGTTATATAGGCTAGAACCATTGAATAAGTAATTACTTATTCAATGCTAGAACTCTCCGTTTCAGACGTGCCTAGTGAAGCTATTCGGCGCCGGGTACCGGATGGCACGTCACGTAGTATGTTATGGAATTGGATTGCAACGTGCATATGTGCCGTGACGACAGTCTAGTGCAGTGTGCGAATTATAGAAATTGTTCAGAGGGAAGAGGGGGGGGGGGGCACTTTTTTTATATAATCCGGAATCTCCAGATACAAGAACACATAAATGTGGTCGAGTACTTATTTATTTTTATCAATTTGGTAATTGAAGTTTGGAAGTGGTTTCTTCTAATTTAGGTCTGAAGTTTTTTATGCACAAACCATGGTTGGGCGGTTTTCGATTTTGGTAAATGCAAGGTACAAAGAGTAGTCTCATTATTGTACAGATTTTTTTTAAATTTTTTGTTTTGTTAAGTGAGTGCATTAGAAGCTTAAGGCGCCTTAGTGTCGTGAGATATGGCATGATTGTCTAAGGTTACAAGAAAATTTTGGTTTATGCCGCAAGAGTAGTCAGCGTGAAAAATGTTTTGATAGAAAATACTACCTAAATAATTAGACAAAGCCGTGCCAAAATCATTTTTAACAAACAAGTAACTTTAGATGTGAAAGTGGTCACTTAGGGAATTAAATTGGGTAATCCAGCCGATTCCATAATTTTTTGTTTCTGTTTCTTTAAAATTTCACCTACAAAAAGATATACAATGGGGCATTTGGTTCTTTATACTATGACCGTATATAATTGTGCCGAAAAAAAAAACGTTTGCCGCATGGTACCTTGTATCTTTATCGGGAGCAAAACATTGTTTAATTTAAAGGATGTTGTCACACAATATAGAAAACATTCACGATTTTTTCTACAATGCTTCAGCAGGAATTATGCTACATATACTGAAAATGTATGAAAGTTCGTTGATACAAAACGATATTTATGGGCATGTAAGGTTGAGCATTGAGAAAAATCGTAAAGAAAATTTGAAACCGTAAAGAGCCCAAATAACAATATTGCTCTATATTTTTTCATCATTTTGAAAAATCTGAGGCCCCAACAGCACTTACTTAAATTTGTACCTGTACGAAAACCGTAAGTGGGACTAGTGAAACTCAGATTGTTTAAAATAAGTTTGGGAAAATCATTGTTCTATTGAAGACAAAGATTCAAGGTCGCGTGGGAAGTACTTTCGATAAGATCCAGATAATTTAATATAATACACACGCACAGAAAAATCAACGAAAGGTCAAAGACGTAAATATTGCAACGCCACTGGTATGACATCCCCCACTGGCGAACGCTGCCTGTACGACACAAGCGCGAAATAATTTAATTCATTCGCAACCGCGGCAAATCAAACACGTAACGGACGGTCGTCTTTGCGATCGTTTTTTTACTTTTACCTTCGTTTCCGCTTTAGCTATAAGTTAGTGGTAACAAATCGTGATTTTAATAAGGCCATAAGTAACAAGGTAATGTTAAAAGTTGTGTTCAATTGTTTTCGCGCCCAAAATTTGTGAACGCGGTGGTGTTAAATGCGCGCGGTCTCGCAAAAACGTCTTCAATTTTAATTAAAGTACCAAAATGCCGTTATAATCTCACGATTTTGTCGTGATTCAATTTCACGATTTGCGAGCAAACCAAGAAAGAGATTTAATTTCAACTGGTTTAGTGAACGCACTTTGTGTAATAAATAGGGCATTAGGTGAAAGTGTTGCGCGAGACCCCGGCCGCAAATATACGGGTGGTGCCTATTTTTTGTAAGTTGATCTCTAAGGGCCTATTTCATACAAACTCTTTTCGTTTTTTCGCTTTCCATTTTACAAAATATTTGTTTCAATATTTGGCAATATTTTAATTTTTACTTTGCAAAAATTTGAAAAATATTACCTTAAAAATAATATCATTAACTTTTTGCTTAGCGAAGAACGTGGTGATATTTTCCACCAAAAATTTACTTTGTTTATTTTCAATTTAAAGAAAGTTTTCGCTTTCTATTTTTACAAAATCAGAAAAGCCGTCATACTTATGGGAAACTCACCATCCTATGCGATTGGGCGGGCGTGTACCCTCAGGAGACCTTTCAATTATTTGGAAAAAGTGTTTCGATCACCTCTATACCTACCATTAAATTCTTTACATACTGTATGCTTCTCAATAATCCGTTTTGCAGTGCCCAGTTTTCCTAATGCGAAGCCTTTGAATTTTCCAGTACTTACTTTCTTCCAAGCGCAAGCAAATTTAGCAGATTTTGCAAATAATGACAATAATGACAATTGTGTAATTTTTATGGGACAGACCACTTGTGTTGCGAAATTAAAAGTTGTAAAGTATGAGATAGGGCCCTGGTGTGACACTGTCGTCTGCGGCAGCTGGCGTTTAACACCACCAAGACAAATTAAAGCGCGAACAATGTGAAACGGTTCGTTTCTTTTTCAAACAAATATTTAAATCATTTTAGGTTAACACTTACCGCTTAGATTAATGAAATGTGTCAGTTATGGCTCTTAATCGGTGCTGTGATATTTTACTTATCCGGTAGTGTAGATTTATTAGACAATGGACTGGCACGAACACCACCGATGGGGTGGTTGGCGTGGGAAAGGTTTCGGTGCAACACCGACTGCAAAAATGATCCTGACAACTGCATTAGGTTGGATGCAAACCTTCACCAACCCTTTTAAAGCGTCTTGTTTTAGTGAGAAGCTATTTCGTACAATGACCGATCTCGTAGTGTCCCAAGGGTACGCCGCTGCCGGCTACGAATATATCAACGTAGACGACTGCTGGTTGGAAAAAGAACGAGGCCCACGAGGCCAGCTAATGCCTGATCGACAGAGATTTCCAAGTGGAATGAAGTCATTGTCGGATTATGTAAGCCTCAACATCATCGGAATCCAATCTAATTTCTCTCGCACAGATTCACGATAAGGGGTTGAAGTTTGGCATTTACCAAGATTTCGGTAACTACACCTGTGCGGGTTATCCGGGAATTTTAGGCTATTTGCAATTGGACGCCGACACTTTCGGCTCATGGGACGTTGACTATGTCAAGTTAGATGGGTGTTACGCACACCCCTCGGAAATGGATCGAGGGTACCCCGAGTTCGGTTACTACCTAAATCAAACCGGGAAGTCGATGGTTTACTCGTGCAGCTGGCCGGTTTACCAAATTTACGCGGGGATGCAACCGAATTACTCGTCAATAGTGCATCATTGTAACTTGTGGAGGAATTTCGATGATATACAAGACTCCTGGGATAGTGTGCAAAGTATCATCGATTATTACGGGAACAACCAAGATGTGATTGTCCCCAATGGAGGTCCCGGCCATTGGAACGATCCCGACATGGTAAGTTTTAAAAACATAAGAGAAAGTTTTTCTCTTGATATTTCACACTTATGTACACCTTGAAAATAATACCAACACATTCGTGTCAATTTTCACTTTCTATTTCCATATGTAAGTAAACGCAATTATCTTAATTTCAACCGATATTGTAACAAATTCATCTCAATTGTTACGGCACTTATTCTAATTAGTGTAACCTCGCAGTTGTTGCACACAATCATTGTTTGCGTGGACCACCTATTACTGACCCATTTATAGCATCGCCTCCAATTGTAAGGCTAAATGGTGGGAAGTATGTGAGAAAAAAATGTATCGTGCGATTGACACATTTTAAACTCGTTTATCCGAATAAAAAAAAAAGAAAATTTTTACACAAAGCCCTGTGGCTATTTCATCTGTAATACACGCTGAACGAGTGAAAGCATAACAAAAGTGAAATAAAAGTTTTATTATTAAGTAATTTACTCTTTTTCTTCTACATTTCTACACATTTAGCGCACTGTGTCGTTTTTTGTCAATGTTGTGCAAATATTTATCAAACAATGTGTTTTTTTAGTCAGCGATTTTATCTGCTGAAACGCAGTAAATATTGATAATGAAATTATAATAATTCCTTGTTTATGCTATCATTTAATATGCGCAGTTTTTTAATTCTCCCTCCAGCGCCTATTCAAAACCAGTAAACTGGGGGAGCGTGGTCAAAAATGACGAAGATGCGGCTCGTTGATAGCTCTGCAAGGAGTGGTCACTTGATATATCCGCCATCTATCGACTTTGAATTATGACCAATCTTTCATAAGACCTTTCGAATACCATGAAGGCCCTCTTAAATTATATCAGCTAAACTATTCCTATTCTTTGCAGCTCTCTCATCTCAAGGTTTACGCTCCACCTCCCCATCCCTATAGCAATTCCTCTCGCAATTCCTAATGGACATACCTAATCAGACTGCATTTTATCACTTACCTACCCTTTGGACGAAAACCGAAACAAAGAAAAATATAATTTGCTCCCCCTCCCCTCCCCCATAGTTGGTCTTCATTTTAAAAGCTTGTACTGAATGAGAATTGACAATTGCATTCAATTCATAGCGCCATCTGATATTTTTATATAGATAGCTCTGTACCGTACGTGTGTCCTATTTTACTTTTAATACCACAAACAGAATCAATTTAGCTACGCCTGTTTCTGAGATACAGGGTGAAAACGAAAAGTTTCACTTTTTGGGACGTTATCACATCTTACTACCCATGTAAGAGAGAAACAAGGTAAATACTGTCTATTTCAGATATTTTTACATAGAAATCCAGTGGCGTAGTTAAAAAAATGATTAGATTAGACCACCGTTTTTTTACTACGCCACTGGATTCTACGTAAAAATATCTAAACTAGGCAGTTTTACCCTTTTTCAATTTTTCATGTGGTATATGATAACGTCTCAAAAAGTCAAACTTTTGATTTTCACCCTGTATCTCAGAAACAAACGTAGCTAGATTGATTCTGTTTCACAAAAAAGTGGCACAGGCTCGCAAAAACAGCAAGTCTATCTTTAAAAACAGCTGAGATTACATTGCAATCTCAACCAAAACACATAGTACATTTCGTATTTTTATGCAAAACAATAATAATCGCTCAAACAAATAATTTAACAATACGTAATACTCCTTTTTTTATATATTCTTTAATACACAGAAGATTCTCGTTTCTATTGAATTAAACTGGGAAAACAAACTTTTACCTTCTTAACTGGGTTCTTAAATGAAAATTATATGCACTGGAATTTTCAAACCGGTTAAAAAATGAACCGACTGAATATTTTTGTTTTTTTTTTACTATTTAATCAATATCGTTAAAAAATCGGCCTTACAATAAATAAACTTTACCATAATTAGACAGGACCTAAAACTACCCTTTGCGTCATCCAACCCTGGAATACTGGATCATCCCCTAATGGGTCCCATGGATTGAAAAAGAAAATGATGGAGTATGAATCGGGGATCGTAAAGATAAGACTTCGTTGATTTCTAAAAAACGAATACTCAATATTACCATAGAGTAATATTATTTACTCTATGATATTACGTAAGTAATACAACAGTGACATAGTCGATTTCATTAAAAAAATAGCTTATGGATTAAACCTTATTTCATAACATACTCTGTGTCCAAGTTAAGGATGTCTATCATAAGGATCAAGGAAACCATAGATGATACGAAGATGGTCAAAGAAACGTTGTATTAAAAATTTCTCAACGCTGTCTTGTACAGTAGAGATTTTTTTAACTTTTTGCATCTGTTGAAATAACATCGGTAAAAAATCATCGACATATAATAAATGGACTGCGCGTGTCAATTATAAGCGCGGATATTGCAGGTGAGAAAGGAAATCGAAGAGGGCAAGCTGTCTCTTACGGTTATGCATCTGATTGGTTTTTTCCATTTAATTTGAATGCGATCGGTTCTGTTGAAAGAACCAATCAGATGCGTAACCATAAGAGACAGCGCTCTTAGTTTTCCCTTCTCTCTCACCTGCCGTATCCGTGCTTAGCATTGACACGCGCAGTCTATTTATTATACGTCGATGTAAAAAATAAAAGCAACATCGTCTAATTTCGGTTTTTCTGGCATATCTTCGGAAGTAATTGGAATTTTCTGGTTTTCTTTACAACATAATAACAACTGTTTAATTGCCCAACCTTTCCCTAGTTTGACCATCGTCGTATCTTCTATGGTTTCTTACATCCCCATAATCATCCTTATATTGGGCACATGAGTATAAATCTACTTCACACTTACAATTTAGTACTTCACGCTTTTGTTCATTTTCTTGAGGAAGGTTTCTTTTTTAAATCGGAAACACCAAATTTCTCCTAATGGTTTCTACGGATGGTTGACTTCGCTGACTCGCCGTGAATTTACGAAACACGCACTAAGTCAAATCTACACCTGCGATACTTCTCGGTGGATGACTTAAGCTCGTTCGTATCTCCACGCGGAAAGTTTTCATAGGTTTCGCGCGAAATGCCCCGTGGTTTCAAATATAACTTAAACTTCGTCACGAGCTCTATCGTAGCTTGACGCGTAATTTATCACAGACGATGTTACTTTGCTAATAAAACAAAAATTGCCCTTAACCTTTTTTCTTCAACAATCTTAACAATCTCGCGGCGCGGCGCCGGTCGACGTAAATTTTTTTAAAGAAATCTGACAAGGGGTTAAACGCACATTTTACCCTTCATGGTGTTCCAATGAAAGGTCTCACCAAAATGGAACTGGTTTGTACAAACTATAACTTTCCTCCGCGACATCTTTTCGAGATCAGTAAGTGGACGGGGGGAAATTAATTTTATCTGTCATGGTATTCTAATTAAAGGTCTCAATAAAAGGAACTGTTTTCTACCAACTACCGCCCTTCTTTCTGACTTCTTACGCCCTTATTTTAGGTCATTTAGTGGATTCTCGCGCCATAAATTGTCCAATTTATCACCGTTCAGAAAACATTGGAGACAAAATGCTATTATCCTTGTCCTGTGGCTTGTTCAATTAATAATTAATAAAATAGTTAAGCACTCAAGATATACAGTGTGTCCACGGATATAACAAATTTGTTTAGAGTTGGATCTTCATGTTGTGAGGACCGCTCCTGCTTAGTCTCAAACTAATACATATTGAAAAAATGAGCGAAATCAATTAACAGGGTGTTTTTTTTTGCCGATTTCTAACAATTAGTCAGGAGCAAGAGAGAGCAGATATAACAAAAATGTAATAAAAGAAGTTGTTTAGAATTAAAAGTTAGGTAGACTTTCAATTTTCATACAGATCAGTCTACTTTGATTTTTCATCAGCACCCAACTTTGAACTCTTGTTTTGAACAAAAAGGAAAGCGGACTGATTTGTTTGAAAATTCTATACAACTAAAACACCCTGTATATCAACATCTTAGTTTGAAACTAAGCAGGAGCGGTCCTCAGAACATGCAGATCCAACTCTTAAAAAAATTTACACCTTATATGCCTTCAATCCGTGGACACACTGTAGATACCTAATGAAATTCAAACTAAACTTTTCTGAAAGACAATAATAATCTTTGAATAAATCGCAATTGTAAACTAAATAAACCTATTAATTGTGAGTATTTTCAGTTAATTATTGGAAATTTTGGTTTAAGTTACGAACAAAGCAAAACTCAAATGGCAATATGGGCTATATTAGCTGCTCCTCTTCTGATGTCAGTTGATCTACGTACAATTAGGCCAGAGTACAAAGCAATATTGCAAAATAAAAAAATAATTGCCGTAGACCAAGATCCATTGGGCATACAAGGAAGACGAATATATAAGGTAAGTTGTCAATAAATTGTTATCTACTAATCAGATTTCTCCGTAGCATAAGGGCATAGAAATCTGGTCAAGACCGATTACGCCGCTTTTCCAAAATTATTTTTCGTACGCCATCGCATTTGTAAATAGAAGAACGGATGGCACGCCGTCGGACGTAGCAGTTACACTTAAAGAATTAGGTTTAGTGTCACCTACCGGATACCGAGTGGAGGTAAAAGCTCCTTCAGTACAGTTCAACCACTAACCGTTTGTTTTAGGATCTTTACGAAGACGTAGATTATGGTGTCTTAACTTCCCAAACCAAAATTAAAGTAAAGGTTAATCCGTCGGGTGTTGTGATATTAAGGGCCGATGTACAGCCAGATTTTAATAGACGAGTACAAATATTTACCACACCAAAAACGGCGTTCAGTCCCTTAAATCAAGTATTCCAAGTTCGAAGTAACGGATTCGATTTTACATAAAATAAGTTAAATTAATAAACTAGTTTTTTTATAAGTATATTTATGTATGTAATTTATATAAACTACATTCCATGTTGTGATTGCCGATATAAATTAAAACTTAATCTAGTAAGTATTCTTGTGTCTCTTGGTCCATGGTGATGGTAACCTTCAGTCCGCGCACGTTCTTTTTGATCCTTGCGCATTTTAAGTTTCCTTCAATTGTGTCCCCTAAATTAAATGTTATTAGTTCATTTAATATTGACTTAGGCCACTACATTCGGGAAAATCAGATATACTTCATAATTAATTTTGGAACCCTAGCTGCAAGCAATTTATGTATAAAATAGGACTTAGGGTAAAAATTGTCAAGTCGTTGACGGTGGGCCTGCGGGCTTAGATTCTGCATGCTCAGAAAGTCACTTACCATTTTTGGAAAAAGAAACGTTTATCACAAAGAAAAATTTTGCAACCATTGAAGACATTGGAAATGATAACCATATATATAAAACGCTATATTTAAAACACAAATAACCCTTATTCACCCGGGATAAACTGGTAACTTCACTAAAAATCGGAAAGTGGTTAGGAACTACAACAAAAGTTTAGACTTGTTGAAAGAGTCAAGTTAAATTCTTCAAGACATGAGGGAGCAAAAACGCATATGATGAAAATCATGAAAGACGATTTGAAAGCAGTTGGAAGATTGGAGGGGGGGGGGGCATAATAAAATCTTATATGTTCAAAAAAGTTTCAGAACCCTCTGGGGCGCGTCTATTGTATTGTAAGCATATTACAAATCTAATCATTTTTTTAGGTTGTACAATAGTTACTTGTACAAGTAGAGAAGAAAGTTTTTCAACTCGCTACGCTCATGTGTCAATTGAACGAGAGTTGAAAATCACTTTCTTCCCAAGTTTTACACATAATTTTTTCTGAAACTATAATCAAAATTTAATTTTAAATGTCATGATTAAGATTAATGCAGCAATTGTTTTTTACATTCCTCACTAGAAAGGAATATCACATTTTCCTCGCCCTTTTTAGAGACGAAAGTAGTTGTTTTTAAAGTAGTTTCAGAACGTTAAAATTAGCCCCGTAAAATCCATAGCTTTATTACATTTGATGTCGCGAGCCGGCGGTTACTTTTCCATTAAGAAATTATTCACAAGCTGGCAAAAAATGTCTACCAACCTGGGAACGTAGTTTGCCCACTATCGCGGAAAAAATTCGCCATGGATGTGCAGTTGACGGCACACAGAGGTGGCATGTTCAAGGAGACGAACCGTACAGAAGAAATAATTGTGCTCGCTGACCGAGAACATTTAGTTCCTGTTCAAGAGCTTATAAATACAGGAGACAGAACAAAGCGAAAGTTTAACTTCGATAATACCCCCTTTTTTCGTCATTAAACAATAAACGCTCGCGGTTCTCAACAGTAACAGACAGGAACGTGGAAAGTTAACGAGTGCTTTTTCCGCTCGCGAGCGTTTTTTTTTCGCTTGTGAGCGCTTTTAACCGCCCTCAAGCGCTGAAGGATTAAGCGCCGCTCGCGAGCGTTTTTTCCGCTCCCGAGCGCTTTTTCCGCTCGAGCACTTTTAGGAGAAAAACAACTCGATGCTCGCGAGCATACTCGATGCTCGCAAGCATTTTTGAGGCAATTAGATCGCTCGTCACTCGAGCGGTTTTTTAAAACGCTCGACCCAGCTCTGCACCTAATAGGAGCCCTGCAAATACAAACCTACCTTCACTAACGTTTCGAGGATTCTTCAAATAAAAAACTGTCTGCTGCCAATGCGTCTTCGTCACATGAGGGCCGGTTGAAAAAGAGACCGAAATTGGTAAATCAAAAAATGTATCAAAATAACCACCCAAAGCAGTCAGAATTCCTCCCTTGACCACTTGCAACTTAAAATCCGTACTAAATTCAACTGTATTTGTTTGACACGTTTTTAAATCTATTTCTGTTAATACAAATGGCGAGGTTATAAGGGTGTCACTAGATATGGTTTCAACATTTGGTTCCTTCACAACCTCGCTTTTCATACATTTCATACTAAATCCGTAGACGTTATTCCAAAAACTTATGTGTTTATCATATTTATCTGCAAGAAGTTAATGAAACACGCATTTTCCATTTGTGGTACCTACCTAAATCGCTAATTCCAATTAAGCTTATATTACAACGATTAGGTAATATCACACCATTTGTGCTTAAATGATTGTCTCTCGCATAAATAAAACTATCCAACATTCCTTCGAATAACAAAAAGTAACCCATCCACTCTGATATTATAATGTCAACTTTGTCCACTGGTAAAGGTGTATCCTCGATGCGACCGCGGATTAAATGGACAACGTCTTGTAAATTATTTTCCCTGAAATAGAAATGATTGTTAATGTGTATACCCAGTAACTGCGAAAATAAAGAGAACACACACAGAACATACAAGAAATCTTTTATTAATTTAAGAATTAGTTTCATTTGTCCTATATTATACAATATTACGTTCTATTTACAAACACAGCCTTGACTGAAACCCCGCCCACTCAAAAATAAAGGCAAAAAAAAAACGCGAGTGCAGTTGAGTTTAGTTGATGTTAGCAGCGGGGTCAAATGCATGTAGAAATGTAGCATGTAATTAGAATTAAATTAACTCATAGCAGCACATTAAACTTAATTATTAATAATTATAAATACAATCCACTATTACCTCACAAATTTCGAACCTGACCTGAGTATACTAGGCCAAGCTGGGTGGTTCAGGTTAGATAGGTACCTTTTAAATCATCGACCTTGAGGTTCACTTAGTTTGAGGGCAATTTAGTTTTGGGTATTTTACGTACCTAATTATATCCATTGCTTTATACAACACATCAGACTGATCAATACCATAAACCTTGGCCGAACCTGCCTGTGCGGCAAACATTGAAAGAATTGCAGTCCCACAACCTACATCCAAAGCAATTTTGCCTTTAAAAACGTCCTTATTGTTTAATATTGCATCTCTATAACTTGTAGTCCGCACCGTATCCTAAAAGTATCTCAAATTAGTGAGGAAATTGTACTAACTCAGACTTACGCTTAACATTTCATGATGAATCCCGTAATGTGCGTACGTATTAAAATATTCGTTATCATAACCGACAGGTACCGAAGCGACACTTGTCGGTAGTGAAACTTTACTGTCGCCACTTTCAACAATTGTCTTCGTGACCTCGCGCATCTTTGCCATATCTTGCATGGCACTCTTTAGTAGATTATCTTTTTCTCTAACCTACAAAATAAAGTATCGATAGGTACAGAGTCGATGCACATATGGATATGTATACCTGCAGAGTTAATTCGTAAATCTGCCTTTGTAAATCGTTTATATTATTGCTAATTGGAGTTTTTCCATCAATTGCATAGTGTGGAGTCGATGGCGTACTCCCCAGATCATCAAAATCTGGAATGTACAGAATACAGTAGGTATACTACTAAGCGAGTACCGTATAATTGTAGTCAGGAGTCTGTATACGTACTCGCGTCATTGTTTGATAAATTTTTTTTATAGATTTAACACATTGTTGTAGTGTCTAAAATTGATACACAATCGAATAAAGCAGGGCCGCCGACTCATGTCTACAAGTCATAAGTTAAATGTTAAAGAGATTGGTAAACATTTTGGAGTCTAACTTTATATGTTGGTCAAAAAGGATGCTAACTTCAAGACGATGTCTGAAATACGTTCTAAGTTTCAGAATGACATTTGAAATACGTTTTAGAACGTGCAAGCAACACGAAAACGTCCTAAGGAGCCTATTCTCTAACGCATAACGATGTTACATAGCGAATATCGTTCGGCAACGACTTTCTCTATTCTGTATGACGTATGACAGTAATACGGCATATATCTGTTGTTCAAGATCAAATCGTTACCATTACGATATCGTTTGTTAACGACAATATACAGAATGGACCCCTAAGACTTAGAAACTTTTTCTATCAATATACAAAGTTAAACTCGAAAATGCTTCTAAAACGTATTTCCAATGTCTTCCTAAAACTTAAAACGTATCTTAAATATCTTCTTAAAACGTAATCCGAGGGCCAATGACCCCGACGAAATTGGGGAAAACGTCAAAGTTCAGGCTACAACCTTGGGAAAGTTCAAAACTACGGCCTTGGAGAGAGCCCGAAGTAAAAGTCTAAAGGCCTCGACCCTATGACCTTGAGGAATGCCCGTGGGCACCATTTGACTTTCCAAGGTTAACTTGTTTTCAAATGCTAAATGGCTTTCTAATTTCAGTTAGTTTGCAACTGTTCCGGTGCGCGCATTTATTACTATTATCTGTTCACCCAACAGATGCAGTAAAGCTCCTCCCAAAAAATTCCCGCCAAATTTAAATGAACATTTTTAATTGGCCGCATTGTCAAAACCTGTAACACACGCAACTATTTGCTTTCAATAATAATTGCCGTATCTGAATTGACATCCCTAACGTCAAACCTGTCATTGCGTTTGGTATTTGCCTTGCCTCAATTTGCCGTTAATTTCATTTATACGAACAAAATAATCTTCAAAACATAACGCTTTATAACTTCGTCGTACAATGTGACATGCGATTTTAAATTTCCCGGTTTTTATAATTTCGTGACTGTGAAACGGGACTATTATTACATTGGCCAAAATTTATTGGGAGTGGCTTAACTGCATCTGTTGGGTGAACAGATTATAGGTATTAACGGTTTCACCATCATCTCTCTTTTAAAGTTACGCGATTATGATGATAACGTGCATCTCTCTTTTAAAGGGCGTGAACGATTTTCGAACACGAACTAGGATAACGTTATGTGTAAGTAAAGTTTCTTTTGTTTTGCTTGCTTAATTGGTATATTGTGTGATCAAAACTCTCTAAACCTTCCCCATATAGTTTTTATTCGTTGAAGTTTTTTTAAAATAAAAGCGACTATAGTTTCGGAGTACTGCCATCATCAGGCGATGTAAAATTTAACAGGAAAACGGTAACTTACAAACGTTGAAGACGAATAAGACGAACATTTTGTTTTTTAATTATTAACTGGCCGAAGCCAAATGAAACAACCTGAAGGGTGGTTAAACCGGAAAGGTTGTCCTAAGTTTCAAAACGAATTATTATCAATCCTTGTTAAGACAACCAACCGGAGGGTTGAATTGTTACATTAAAAGTGAAAGTTGAATTTAACACATTTCAAAAGAACCGGGGGGAAAAAATAAACTCATAAAAGTTTTGAAACTATTGAGATGACTACATATTTAAATTATTTAAGTTAAGTTTAAATTCGAGATCATGCAGACGGCATGTCTAGAAATGATTATTCATTTGGCTTCGGCCAGTTAATAATTAAAAAACAACATGCTCGTCTTATTCGTCTTCAACGTTTGTAACTTACCGTTTTCCTGTTAAATTTTACATCGTCTGATGATGGCAGTACGCCGAAACTATAGTCGCTTTTATTTTTAAAAAACTTCAACGAATAAAAACTATATGGGGAAGGTTTAGAGAGTTTTGATCACACAATATATTTCAACCCCCATTTCGAGGAACGATGGATCCAACCCAAAAAAAAAATTGCTTAATTGGTTTTTCCTCTTCTTTGTAAAATTTTTAAATGCATAATTTGTCATTTTTTAAGAATACCTTAGGTATCTTTCTCTCAGCACCTTATTTAGTTATGGTACGCTTTGGTTTTACTTTGTACGCACTCATCTTACAGATTGCAATAAGGTTACGCCTTCGTTACAGCACCTGAACAACAAACATGATCAGTCGGGGAAAAAGGTCGTGGCAAAGTCCAAAACTCAATGCCATAACCTTAGGCCAGCATCCAATGCCATGTCCTCGGACCAAAGGTCAAGGTCACGACCTTGTGAACAGTTTTCATTTGCTCTCGAGTTTACTTTTATTAAATGGTCTTATGCTCTAATGAGGTGAAAACATTTTCATCTTAAGGAAAAACTGAGAAGAGGGACCTAAAATTCAGAGGAAGACCCAAAGAACATTTTTGTCAAAAAGATTGACTGGGTCATAACTTGACCTTTGTAATACTATGATGGTGATACAGAGTGTTCCTGAATATAATGTAAATATACCTTATTTTATGACTAAAAGATAGGACTGTAAACGCTTCGCTACTGATGTACAGGGTGTTAAAATTTCAAGATTTTTTCGTGGTTTTTGTTTATTTATTTTGCCTTTATTTTTGAGTGGGCGGGGTTTTAGGCAAAGCTGCTCTACCAACCCAACCCACTATACATTTACAAATGTCCATGCCCAAACCCGGATTTGAACCAGGGAACCCTTAGCACCACAGTCCAGCTTTAACTGAACTACGCCACACGGGCCGGCGCCTGCAATTTGCTCACGTTTGAAATATAAGTGACCCTGAAGGACTTACATCGTTGGTCATATCCATGGTGATGAGAATCTACAGGGTGTTGTTTTTTCAGGTTTCATGTAAAATAAGAATTTGATTTTCTGATTTGTTTGGTAACTTTATGGTTTCGTTCGTATTTGCACCCGTTATCGAGAGAAAAAAAATTAATTTTCGGTACTTAGTTAGCTAAATGAAAGTAAAATTGTCCAGTAGGCCCAGGCTTTATTTGGATTTGTTTTAATAGTCTTGACAGTTCGCATTTGAAATTGTATTCAGTATTTACATATGTTCACAAATTAAAAGGTTTAAATTGTAAAGTGTACAGTGAAATTTTAACACCCTGTACATCAGTAACGAAGCGTTTGCGAGCCTTTGTTTATATGAATTTTTAGTCATACGATAAGCTCAAAATTTAGACACTTCAGTACTTACATCATATTTAAGGACACCCTGTATATCACGACGCGTATACTAGAATGCGGGTTTCTTCAAAGCGTATTCACTTGAAGAAATCCGCATTACATTGCTTGCAAGATGACGCAAATAATGTCACGTGTAAGTATTTATTTCGAATTTTGGACTAACCCAAAAACACAAATTAGACTACTAAGCAATCTAATCGTTTCAGATCTTTATAATCTTATTGAAAAATGAGTTTCTGTCTACATTCTCATTTATTCTTGGACCTAAAATCTCGTTTTCAATTTTCAGTGAATGAAAAAGGATAAATGCTTTAAAAATGCATAGGTACTCATAGATTTGTAATGCTTCCTTTACATTATTCTCACTACTTAACATTTAAAATATTTGTGTTGCACCCATGCGAATTATGTGTTCTTAAACATTGAGTGACAAGAAGGGACAAAACATTTTTTCCAAATCGATTGGGAGCTATGCACCCAAAAGTTGTAGTTCTCTAATTTTTTCCAGTGACAACATATACACACTTAACTAAGTAAAAATGGAAAATTAAACCAATTGCCAGTTAAACCAGAAATGACAAAAACAATTGAACGTGCGAAAAATACAAAAACACTCAGTATTATGAGTTCCATTAAAAATAAGTTGTGGGACACCCTGCATATACTGCTTGAATTGCAACTGTGATAAAGCCTGTAGTAAGTTATGGCACTAAATTAGAAGAAATTACCTTTCAACGTTTCCTTTCATAATTTTTCTAACGCCAATTATAAAAACAAACCTATTATTGATACTGGAAGGAACACAGAGTGCATCTCTTTTGCTTTGAAGATCTTTAATTGAAATTTGGAGTATGTTATATGCATAACAAACGGATCATCTAGGGGATCATACAACTAACTTTATTTTTACTTCCGGAGCCGCTAACTTTCGATTTTCCCTGTATATTATTACATTTATGAATTAATTTTCAGAATATTCAATACCAAATCTTCCGTTCTAGCTGGAAGAAATACTGTTACTTATTCTCAAAATTGTGTTCTGAGATGTCTCTTTTAAGAGTTTTTAGGTCTCAGAGGATCATTAATTCTGTCAGTGACTGTACAAGGAAATTTCATGTGCCAAATAGAATTCACTTTCGTAACTAACACAAGTAGAAGTCCCAAGGTAAAACAACCACCTACCATACATTAACCAGGGCTCCATTTCTCCAGGTTTCAAATAAACATCGTCCTCCCAAAGTGCCACACACGATTCCGTGATAATATGCGGATCAGGTTTATGAAGCCTTATGTAATTAATCATCTTAATAAACGAATAACAGTCCATATTATACTTTGTTTTCAATTCGAGTAAATCAAACTTGTGCTCGCTACGACAATGATCTAGAGCAACTGCGATCGTTAGAAATTGCGAAGGACAAAATAAACATGTAGTTTGTTCCCCAGAAACCTCCATCTCGTCCCATCCATCAGAGTCGTCATTATCGTCCCCTTCGCACAACGTTGGAGTGTCTAAAAAGGACAGCGTTAAGTGAATTGCTGTAAAGAAATACTATACCTTCAGTTTCAGTCATTGTGTCAAAATTGGTAAACAAAGATAGCGATCCTGTTCAAATACGAAATTTCACGTGTTTACGAAATTGAGGTTAAGTATTTCACATGCCCGCATGTGTATTTTACATTAGGGGTTTCTGTTTCGCAAACATTTTGTGAGGGCAACTATTTTTTTTTAATTTATAATAATATCAAACTCAAATTATTGATTACTTACTGCCCCTTGCTGTGACATTTGCCATTTTTCAAATTATTTGGATGTGTTTCTTGTATTGCATGAACGCAATGGTGCAGCTATACACAGAGTGAACTCAAAACATAGCACATTATTTTGTAATTACATAATTATGTTAATATTATGATTTTAGATAATATGATAAAATTACAAGTAAACCGCAACAAACCAGTAAATGCACGATTCATATTTTATGTTTTTCACATTTAACATTTGCACAGTCTTCTAAGCGATAATTGATTGAATGGAATATTTGCGGTGATATTTTTGCCTCCTAAAATCATAACTTATTCGAAACCCAATATTGTAGTTGATACATAGTCCTAAAATAATTTTTTTTTAAACTTGAAAATACAAACCTTACCGGATTTGGGACCCTGGATGGACCATATATGGAGGGCTTATAAAAATGCGTTCGGAAATGAAATGTCTGCGATGTTTGAGATGAAATCTTCAAACAAATTTTTCCTGTTAATCTACGATTTCCTTTTGAAAAGTCGTAAACAATAATTATAGGTACCTACTACCATTTAGTATATTTAATTTTAAATATGTGATTATTATACACACTAACCAGTGTGTATAATCAATGGTACTACTGTCATGTCATGTACTTGGGCTTCCGTAATGTATAACAAGCATTTGCAAAAATTTTCGCTATAATATTATAGAACTCTTTAAACAAATGGAGTACTCAGGGCCGGTTGCACAAACGCAGTTTAAACTTCGTTTAAATTAACGCAATGGATTAAGACATATGATTAGTGGAAATTTGACAAAACGTCAAATTTCAACCAATCCTAGACCGTAATCCACTGGTTAATTCCAAGCTAGGTTTAAACTGTCTTTGTGCAACCGGCCCTTAGTTGATGATATTATAATGCCAACATTCTTTGCGGTACACTGTATTGCAGTCGCGATTTGAAAAATTTATAGTAATTACTGGTACAACAGACACCGCCACATTACTCCACGTGCTTGCTGTCAAGTTTGTTATGAAATGTTTAATTCCAAATTTAAAAATTATTGATATTTGGACCGAACGCCCTACAACAACTTTAAGCCGTCTCATTACACAAGTAGAGTATAAGAAAAATGGAGCCTACAGGTAGATAATTTCTTTGAAAAAAATAGGGTTAAAGTATTGTCTTCAGGTAAACCGAAAAAGAAAAATCAGTATGTCAGAGAAAAGATCAATTTAAAAAGGAAATTGTCCAAGAAAAACAAGCACCGAGCACGGCTGGTTGTTCGTAATTTACCTTTCGAAGCGACCGAAGAAGGTCTCCGCAAACATTTTGAAAAATTCGGCGAAATTGATGAGGTTAAGCTGTTGAAGAAGGAAGACGGAGTACTTTTAGGTATTGGGTTTGTACAATTTAAACTTGTTCAAAAGGCTGCTAAGGCCAGGCATCATTTAAATGGGAAACCGTTTTTGAACCGCAATATTGAGTGTGATTTTGCGTTACCCAAAGATAAGTACGAGAAGAAAGATTCGACTACGACTCCTGATCCTGTCCAAATTAAAGATGAACCATTGGATGATGCTGAAATTAAGGTTGAAATAAAGGAGGAGGATATAAAACAAGAAGACGAAGACTTGGATGTTACTAAAGAAGAAAGAGAATCTGAAAAGTCAAGTGATAGTGATGAAGAAAATCAAGATGATGAAGATGAAGATGATATTGAATTTGATGAAGAAATTGAAGTAAAAGACGAAGAAAAACCTAGAAAGATCTCCAATGATGTAAATGAAGGGAAGACTATTTTTATTAAAAATGTACCATTTGCTGCTACTAATGAAGATATAAAAGAGTGTATGTCGCAGTTTGGTCCATTGTACTATGGTGTCATTTGCATGGATCAGTTAACGGAACATTCGAAAGGAACTGCTTTTGTCAAATTTAAGGTAGGTAATGGCTAATGTAGGTCGGCTCAAGTCTTCAACTTGTAAAGTTTCCTGATTTGAGCGTTTTATAGATAAACTATGAAGTTTAGGCAACCCACATATCACCCTCTCTATTCACACCTTTTTTCTGAATGGAAATAAACTTGGTTTGCTTTTTGAGGGTACGGTAACTATGTTCCAAACCTAACTAGTAGTTCTTAGATTGTTTGGAATTCATGGCGTGTCTATGAGTAACTGCTATCAATCTGGTTCTCCTCTTCGGCGTTATTGCCATATTTAGAGGATCAATATTGGCTTGCACTGAACAGGTCATTTTAGGCACTCATTTTATGTCAGGAACTGTGTGTTGTTATTTTACAGCAAAACACTGAAATTCTATGACAGGGGGAAGACTAGAGCTGTAGTTAAAATCCTCACACTTTCACAGTAAAACATTTTTCACAGAACAAAGAAGATGCAGAAGCTTGCCTGGCGAACAAGGGAATCACTTTGATGAACAGTGTGTTAGAATGTGAAAGAGCACTATCGAAAGATGAATTAAAGTCAAAATCAGAAAAGAAGGAGAAAGGTCCAAGAGATTCGAGAAACTTATACCTTGTTAAGGAAGGTGTTATCTTGGCAGGAACTAAAGCGGCCGAATCAGTGTCCGCGACAGATATGACCAAGAGACTACAAATTGAACAGTACAAGACGCAAATGTTGAGGAATTTAAATATGTTTGTAGCTCGCACTAGGTTGGTGGTGCACAATATTCCCCCTAGTTGGAGTGATGCCCAACTGAAACAGCTGTTTTTAAAACAGTGTAAACACCCTGGAACCCTCAAGGAGGCAAAGATAATGAGAAATATGCGTGATGTAGATGCAAATGGCATAGGAAGATCTAAAGAGTTCGGATTTGTTGCCTTTACAACACATGATGCAGCACTACACGCCCTTCGCGCTTTGAATAATAATCCCAATATATTTAGCCCAACAAAACGTCCGATTATAGCATTTTCTATAGAGAACAGATCAAAATTGCGCGCGAAAGAGCGACGTTTACAAAATTCGAAATTGAAAAACCCTACCAGCAAGAGCTACGATCCAAATACAGTTAGTAAACCTTTCAAAAAAGATAAAGAAAAAAGATATAAACAAGACAAGCCAGCTGAAGATACGCAGGAGGGTTTGCAAAAATTTTCGGGCACAAAAGCATCCTTCGGTGCTTCCAAGATGAGGAGCAAGTTTAATTTACGCACCCAAGCTCAAGTACACCACGAGCAAGTTAAAAAAGAGAAAAAGATGAAGAGGATGGAAATCGCGAGGCGACCAGTGAAGCAGAAAGAGAAGAAAACGAAACCTTTGAAACAGAAGTTGAACAAGATGAAAAAGGATGATAATTTCGCGAGTTTGGTTAATAGTTACAAACAAACGCTTCTAAATGCAAATTCGGCCGATACGACTAAGAAAAAAAAGTGGTACGAATAATTATAACTATCTACAATAAATTTTTAAACAACATTGTTTTATTTGATTTGAAACAAAAGGTTGATCGTCGTTTTAAACTGAACGTCAGAGCGGCTCGTGAGTTCTAAAAGAGTGTGGGCACAAGTAAAATTGTTTAAAAACATTTTTTGTACAGCTCGGACTGGGTGGTACCAATGGTACGATGATGGCGGTTCTTTTTATTTGTTGGGACATGAGACACAATTGGGAAGGGAATGGAAAAAAATGAAAAGTTTTGTACATCCGAAGAGATATGAAAAATGAAATTCGTTATGCACTAAGCTTGGTTTCGCGGAAAAAACCCTAACCACAAATTTAACAAAAAAAACCTTGCATAATTAAACATATGATTCTCATAACACAAATAAGTACAAGAAATATGTACATCAAACTAGGACAACAAAATGCAAACCAAAAAACTAAACTTCCAAACGTACATGATCTATTCTAACTTATTTCATTACGCACGGGTGTAGGTAATGGGTACTATATTATGCTTCTAAATTATACGTTATGACCTCATTTTTATGGAGGTCGTAGAAAAAAATATTTAATAAAACAATATAAGGGTATAGTTCTCGGTCACCATCCGCTCAGTGAGCGGTTAACCACATGCAATCAAAACGGGTGACTTGCTCACAATGCTCAGCTCTGACGATCACTTTTAGGAAGTTCCAGGGGGCGGGGGCCGCTCGGGTTAATTTGTCCTAGGGCCGCAACCGCAAGTACTCTAAATCAGGCACTGCAGCAGGCCTTTGATTTGTATTTGAAGTTGGCATTCAACGATCCGATAGAAAGAAATTGGAGTAGTACGCTGAACGTTCATTTCAAAGGCATCATGGATCCTTCGCGAAGAATACATTGCCGTTACCCTATGGTGCGTCCTATCTGGGACACTATATCCGTTGCCGCATTGAATATCAGGAACAGAACCAACGCAAACTTGACAACTCGCGTCTACTTTTTCGCAACCCACGCTTCCTAAACTCGCCTGGCTGTCGCCGATAAACTTACTCGCGATTACTATTCGCATGAAGCGGTATATATGAAATTTTACTCGGTGTAATTGATAATTTTGCTGTGTGCTCAAATGTTTCTATGGAATGATTTTTTATTTGTTTCTCCTATTTGTGAGAGGTCCCCATCTATGCGAGACTCATTGAGTCATTGCGTTCGGGAGGTGATTGTGGGCTATTGTCTTCAACTGATTTTACGACTACTCTTCGAGTCTTTCTGATACTCTCCTTACAACTTTACATAGGTACCTACTTCCCGCTTTCTTTAAAGTACGCCATCTTCATTTTGGCATGGGTGCGTTCACCATAACCAAACATGTTTGCGCTTTGATTACGTTTGCAAACACAAACTGTTTAGGCGCAGGTGAACGATAGGGTGCGTTTGCCAGAACCAACTGTTTGCAAACCGTTTGCGCTTTTTACATAGGTACGTTTACTGAACGCGTCGATGGTTGTTAAACTGTTTGCAAGCGGACGCCATTTTTTGAATCGCAATTTAAATTCGCTGAAAATCACAAACATGTTTGTAAGGCACGCATATTTGTTTAAACCATCGGCATATAGGTTTATGCGTGAAATTGGAGTAAATTACTAGTACCTATAATCACGACCAAAAATTGTATAATTGCAC